GCTGGGACCCCGCTTGCTGGGTGTTGGGGCTTCCCCTTAAGGAGCACCCCTCCCTGCTGGGGATTGGGATAGGGGAGTCTCTCCCCTTAGGGACCCTGCTCTCCTCTTACCTGGCTTCTTGGAGATGGATTTGATGAGGGGCGAGGGAAGGTCCGAGTGCTCCACTTTGCAGGTGAAGGTCTCTCCGGCTTCCCAGTCGCGGGTGAAGATGGGCATGGAGCTGGAGGCGGTGAAGGTGCCATTGAAATGATCAGCGATGGTTAGGGGATCAGGGACAATGGACCCTGGCTTCTCCCGGGACCAGACCACCTGGAGGCCGGAGTCGCTAGGCAGGTTGACCACCAGGCAGGTGAGCATGGGGCTCTGGGCCACGTACAGGGCGGCAGGAGATGGGGGCACCAGGAAGACCTGGATGTTGCTGGGAGATGTTGTTTCTTCTGGGGACAGGAGAGCGCAGGTCAGTCGCTAGGCCTGGTCTCCCCTGCCAAGCCCATCCCAGTTTCCCCCCCTCCCCTCCCCCCTTGAGCCCAGCCCGGTGTCCCACCCTCCCCTCCCCCTCGAGCCCAGCCCGGTGTCCCCCTCCCCTTCCTAGGAAGCCTGGGCCCACTCAGCGTCACCTCTGCACTTGCGGGCGTGGTCCTGCTTTGTGGTGGCACTGCCCGGGTGGGACACCTGGCAGGTGTACGTCTTGCCCTCCAGCCACTCGTCCTGGGAGACACTGGCATTGCTGCGGGTGCTGAAGGTGCGGCCGTCGGCGTCCTTCTTGGCAGGGGCGGTGTCACTAGGAAGTAGCCCGGGCTCGCCGTCCACCAGCCATTCCACCGTCAAAGACTCGGGGTAGAAGCCGGAGATGAAGCACAGCAGCTGGATGGCACCTGGCTTGGTGGTGCAGGAGGAGTGGAGGACGTGCACCTCGGGGGCGTGGGGTTCAGTGGGGATGGGCCCTGGGAGAAGGGTGACAGGGGTTAGTTGTTGTACAGACCCCGCCTGAACCCCCCGCCCTGGTATCTGCAGCACAGGGCTCCCTACTGAGCCCTCTGCCCCTTTCCCTGCATTGCAGCACCAATCGCTTCTCTTGGCGTGGTGTCTCTTTTCATCCCTCCACCCTTCGGCGCATGGTCTCTCTCTCCACACCCAACACTGTCTACCTGTCCCCATTCACTCCCATCTCTCTGTGGTGTCGCTCTCCATCCACCCACCCACCACAGCGACTCCATCAGCTCACAGCGCTAGCAGGCTCCCATCCTCTCTCCCTGCAGCAGTCACCAGAGCAGGGCCCTGAGAGACCCCCAACCCCTCCCTTCCCTCCCGGGCTGCGCCGCGCCGTCCCTACTTGGGATTTCCGTGGAGATGCTGGATCTGGTGGGCTGGTGCTCTACGGTGCATCTATAGGTGTCAGACTCCCAGCTGCTGGCAGGGACGGTGACCTGGCTGCTGAGGGAGTAGAGGCCGCTGGAAGGTTGCAGCACGGAGGGATAGGTCTTCACGCCCGAGGAGCCGACGTTTGGGCTCCATGTCACGGTGACCGGCTCGGGGAAGTATCCTTTGGCCAGGCAGCCGAAGGTGACCTGGGACGTGGTGACTTCGCCAGTGCAGGAGGTCAGGGGGAAGACAGACGGGGCCGTGGCGCTAACTGCAAAGGGAGAGAGAGCGAGGCCATGAGACACAGCCCCTACCGAGCCCCTGCCCCACTCCGTGCAGCACAGGCCCTAGCGTGGCACTGGGGCCAGCACTCAATGCCGGGGGAGAGCGTCCCCTAGTGGAGCCCCACTCTGCTCCATTCAGCACAGCACAGTTTGTGCTGAGACTAGTGACAGTTGCAAGGTCTTATTAATGCCTGTGTGTAATTGGGTGCCTGACATAGGCTGCCCCCCATCTTCCAGGTTGTGTCAGACTGACCAGGATCAGGGCCCCCAATTCACTTGGTGCTAAACAGACCCAGTCTGTGATCGGGGGCCTCATTACACCGGGTGGTGCAGAGAGACACAATGACAGACAGTCCCTACCCCACAGAACTTAAAGGCCAAATAGGCAAAATAAAGGAAGCGTCAGAGGGGAAACCGAGGCAGAGAGCGAGGAAGGGACCTGGTCACAGCAGGTCAGTGACACAGCCAGGTAGAGAAACCAGGAATTAGGTGACGAAGTGCTGAACTGTCAGAGAAATTCCCGTTGGAGAAATCACAGCATCTGCAGCTAGAAAATGACCCAAGATTTTGACCAAGGAACTGAAATTGGGGGACACTTCTGGGCTCTCCGAAGAAGCGTCGTATCACTAACCTTTGGGTCTTCAGGTCTCCAGCTGATGTTATACTAGCAACTTTAGCTTGGGTATGAATAGTAAATGTTGTATTCTCATTAGACTCCTGGGTTCATTGCTAACATCATCAGCCCCTAGTGGCTAATTAGCAATTATGTAGCTCAAAAACACAGGGTTAGATGTCCTGGGAACTCACTTGAGACACCGGTAAGAAAGACTGGGACTGTCCAATTCAACCCGGGACATATGGGCCCTTTGGGTTAGAGTTCGGGTTATAATTATACAGTGGGGGGGGGGGGAAGATTAAGGGTTAGTGGTTAGGGTTAGGTGCTGGGGTTAAGGGCTATAGGTTGCAGGGATAGAATTAAGGGCAATGGTTTAATGGTTCGGGTCAAATACCTTTCCACTCTCAAGTTCAATA